CTGCCTGAACACAGTCGAGAGCAGGGAAGGGAAAACCCCACGTATTTAAACACACACACACACACACACACACACACAGAAACTGAAGCATTAGATCCTCTCTTAGACTCTGTTTGTTTTGAAGCCGGACACAGATCTGACTAAATGCTTTTCTAACAGACAGTTAACTAGAAGAGGAATACAGGCTACCAGGCAGGCAGCTTTAGAAGCAAGGAAGAACGAAAACCATTAAAAACAGCCAAATTATTTTCAGCACCAGCCTGAAGCAAGTGGGGCAAGAAAGAAGGGTATTGCTGCGTATTAACTCGGCGCCAAGACAAAGGACGAAGTCCTCAAATCTTCGCTTATGTCCCACTATACACGGAAAGGGATTGAAGGACATATTTAAGACAGGGTAACTTTTATTCAATATGATAAAAATGTGAAAGACCACTTTCGTGCTCACAGGTGCACAGCTACCCAAGACACCCAAATCCACCGCTCTACCCCAAATCTCATCCCCTGAGTTCACGACAGGCAACGTGGTACCACCCGGCAGACACAGAAGGAAGTTGGAATTCTTTTAAATGCTGGCGACTGCTAAATCAAGCATCTACTAGCAAATGGGTCGCTGAGGATGTTATTTGGAAGATTCTAAGGAGTTTTTCGGGGCTGGAACGCCAGGCCCCAAAGCGACCTTAAACAAGTCTGCCCAGGGCTCGCGCTCAGCTGCCCAAGACGACGAGCACCTGAGGGGCGGCAGGGTTTCTCCTGAGACGGGAAAGCAGGTAAGACCGAGGCTCCTGTGGAGTTGGGATAACCCCCGTGACTCTAAAGCTGACACAGATAACGCTGGTTGATACCGTCGGGGGTTTACAGAACCCTTTAGTAAGAGGCACATTCCATCTGCCTGTAGCTAGATAAACGCCTTTCAACGGAGACACGTGGGAGACACGTGGTATTTCTGTTTTATGCTGATAGTCAGGGAACTGCAGTGATTGACCTCCTGCAGCTAAGCTAGTTTCCCAGACCAAGGTGGCAGCGGTGCTCCAAATTCTCTTCAAACCCTTCTGATTACACATCATGCAGGAAGGCTAAATTTGCTGTTTGTTTTTCACCCTTCCCGATGATTATTTACTAATCAGACCTTTTAATAAAGGGGGGGGGGGGGTAGAGTGTGGGCTGAGTTCTCAGAGGCAATGCTACATAGCTGGACTTTAATAACACTGCTTTTTCATTCTATTTTTAGGGAATCTCCTATTCACAGAAAGTGATACCAATTTCCCACTTAACCAAAGCAATATGCTTCCTTTTTAAAACAAACTGGCATCAAAAAGTGAGTCATTTTTTAAGAAAAGTCTTGAGCAGCCCTGGCTGGTGTGGCTCAGTGGATTGAGTGCCAGCCTGTGAACCAAAAGGTCGATTCCCAGTTCGATTCCCAGTCAGGGCCCATGCCCGGGTTGTGGGATCAGGTCACCAGCTGGGGGTGTGCGAGAGGCAACCGATCCATGTTTCCCTTACACGTCATGTTTCTCTTTCTTCCTCCCTCCCTCCCTCCCTCTGTAAAAAAACAAAACTCTTTTTTAAAAGTATTAAGCAAACAAAATTTGAAATATAAAATTAGAATGGTATGCAGGAATGTCAGACCCCATCAAGGTCGTTCTGTCTCAAGCTTAGAAAACGCTGCGTTCGAGTCATCACCACACACGCGAACTCAAAGCTGTTGTGTTATAAACTGTTAGTAACTTTGTGATTAGAATGCTTCCCTCTGATGTTAAGGGAAATAAGTCACATTTTTAGGAAAGCACAGATTAAGTCCCTCATGTCTCGGCTGGACCAACCGCAGGCGAAGGACCAGGGACCTACTGTGGTCCCCGAGAAGGAGTCGCAGCTCTGGAATGGGGTCCAGAGCACAGCCCTCATCACACTGACGCGGGACATGAGAAAGGCACTTTGGTGTCTCCGAGTGATGGATGGAGTTTAGGAGCACAGACAACCTATGCTTCACTTAAAATCGATGTGGATGAGGTCAGACTCTGAGGACGCGACCCAGGAAGGGGTGGAGACTCGTCCGGCTCCCGTACACCAACTGCTCCTTCCAGAGGGCTCCTCTCCCTTTCGATGGGGGGAGCAAGGACAGACTTCTCAGAGGAAGCCACCTACTGGGTATAAAAAAAGGACTGGGAGCGGCAGTTTTTCTGGCTTACTGTAGAGACTTTGAAATTTTAAGAGATTTTGCACCCTTTTTTCATGCCTGCATCCAGGCAACAGATGAGTTACGAGTTCATGTGAAGTCACGACCAAAGACTCCAGTGGACCCGCTGTTCTAACTAGCATTCCTGGCCCATTCCCGTGGCTCCTCTAGGTGAGAGTTCAGGTTCACACACAGACCTCTCACCTCCTGGAGACTTCCCGCAGGCCATCCCCGTCCTGGCCCTCCACCGGACAAGCGGAAGCTGTTAGAAGAGAATGATCTCATTTTCCCAGCACCAAATTTAGGAACCTGTCTGCGTTTACAGGGATTCACTCCGGAATCTAAGTACCACGAGGCTACAGACTTCCGTCTTGTTTTGGTCGCTGCTTCATCCCAAGCACCTAAAACAGTGTCTTGTAAATAGCTGCATGATCAATATTTGAATAAATCGGTAAAAACACCGCCTTTGCCTTTCCGTACACGAACTGGGACCCTGTGCCTACTGAGACTAACCCCCAGGAGTCCTAGTTCTCATCTGTCACCTGCCTCCTCCTGCACTCACCTGCCCCCTTCTAATGCAATATCCCAATCGGCGTCTAACCACGCTCTGCCCTCTCCGTAAAAGCTAAAATCTTCTCCTTGCACACCTACCCCATTTATCCCCTGTCCATCAAAACTCCAGTTGTCCAAAGTTGCTGACGCTACTTCCAACCCTTTCTGTTCCCAATGCTTTAACCCCTAAACTTGCAGCCCGTTACATTTAACAACCTCCCCACCCCCACCCCCGCCACCTCCAATCTTGCGGTGAATTCCCAGTCCTCCTCTTACTGGACAGGATTTGAGAGATCACCCTTCCTGAAACTTGCTACACACCTTCGTTTCCCGCGTGCCCCGTTTTTCTGGATGGCCTCCCTGAGATCTCCAAGTCCCCTTCGCTGGCCCCGCCCCATTTTAAAAATGCTTCAGTACCACAATCCCCCGCATCACCCCCCTTCTGGATCTACACGGCTGCTGCTGGAAATGTGGGCCCCCAAACCTGCAGCATCGACAGCACTGAGGAGCTCGTTGCAAGTGTAGCATCTCCGGCCCCTTGCCAGCCCTTGTGAATCAGTCTGCATTGTTCAAGGCCAGGTGACTCATAGGCGTACTGAAATTTGAGCACAATTCTATTTACGGGATTTCAATCACAGGACTTCAAACTCCATTCATAGGCTAACTCGGAAATATTTCTCTTCAGGTTCCCCGCCCTCCATGACACACGAAACCCCACAAAAACCTGTCAGACGCGTCAAACCGAAGGGCAAAACAGAAATCTTGATTTTTTTTTTCCCCCTCAAGCCAAATACCTAAGAGTCATCCTGGGCATCTTTTTGCTTCCCAATCCCCGGGCCAAAGCGCTCCCGTTGGCTGCACCTCTGCAACGCCGGCAGAGTCCCACCACGTCCACCACCCTGGTCTAGGTCATCAGTATTTTCAGTGCAAAGACTTCTGGGTCTCCAAAATCCTCTTTCACCACGGCTCCCTGCAGTCAATTCTGCACGCAGTGTCCACAGTGATCTTTAAAGAACATGTACCCTTTCCAGACGCTGGCTTCCAAGAGCCGGCATTTCCTAGCCCCTTCTACGCTGTGTCAGATGCTCTGCTCAAGTCACGCTGATAGGCTTGTTCTGCTCCCTCCCCTGTACCTTTGCCTACTTTACTTCCCAATTTCTTTCTGGTCTCAGCTCAAAGACCCCTTCCTTAGAGAAACCTTCTTGAATCACCAAAACTAAGACAGACCTCCCTCTGCATTCCTTTTTTTTCCCTATCTTTTTTTCCGTGCGGGGCTTTCCTTTTAGCTGACAGTTCCGACATCACAGGTGTCTGACTCTCCCACTACAGCATGCGGCCCACGATCAGAGACTTCGTCTCCTTCCGAAACCACCACTGCTTAGAACAGTGCCTGGCACGCAAGGAGCGCCCAAGGACAGCCTTCAGGTGGTGTTGGTGGGCCTGTCGGGGGCGGGGCAGACTCTCCCGACTGTACCGGCACCTAAACAGGGTCTGGCAGAAGGAACACCCACCCGGGTGTGGTTGGTAGGAGAACAATATGGGTGTGGTACCTTATAAGTTTAATTTGCACGTTTCACCCAAAATGTCACGTGGTATGCTTGCGTGTGACACTGTTATGTACAGAATTACATACTTAATGACGTTTTAATCAAAGGGGGTGTTATTTGTGCCAGACTCTGGATATGCTTGTCACACAAAAACCTGGATTTGGCGAGTACGCCAGCGGTTTTCAACCGGTTCAGACTTCTATCACACGGCAGCTGGTGCTACCATAGTTCTGTACGTTAGAATCACCTGGGGGCCCTTTGAGAAAATTCTCGTCTTCAGCCACATTTTCAATGAACTAGACCGCAGTTGCTGGGGGTGGGACACCACCACCGACCAGTTTATGCTGAAGCTCTCGAGGCGATGCCACTGTGAGTTAAATTTGGGAACCGCTGCTGTAGGCTGTGCGTTGGTGAGCGTGACGTCAGACATGAAATCTGTAAGATATTTTCAAAACTCCCAGCCATGCCGTTATGAAAACCTAAGACGTCTATTTCCTGTGTGATATAGAAAAGAAGAAATCCACGAAAACACAACGGTCTCACACATTAGGTCTGAAAGAGAGCACATCTTTCTTGAGGTTTTTTCATGTTTGTTCTCCTGTCGAAAGTAATCCAAATTTGGGCGCTGTTGTTTGGAAGTGAGTTATCTGCTGACGTGCTGAATCAACTTGAGGTATGCACAAGTGTTGACTGCTATGTAAGTCACATCCGAAAGGCTGTGGGGGCTCGGCACATACTCACAGTTTTCATGGCATCGGGTAAATAGCGCTCTCCTGGTAACAAGGATGTGATTACTAACACAAAATGCTATCCTCTCAAGAGAGAAAAGCATTTTATACTCAACAAGTTACAATAAAATAACTTCTTCATCATGCTCATATTCCTTGCTCAAGAAGTAATAATAATAAGCTCCAGGCATCAATCAAAATATCCCCAGGACGGAAGTTAATCAAATGTTGTGCATTCACCTGTCTCTAAGCTCGCCTTTAAAGTGTCTTCATACTTCAGAATAAAGGACAAAGTTAATGAAAGAGCAAATCAAGTCACTTGACTCTTTACATCCTCACTACAGGGAAAATTCTGTGGATTCCAAAAGAACCTCGGGGACACGTAAGCCCACCTCCCGCCGCACACACATGGTCGGCCTGACCCCCCGGTGAGGAGAGATGACATGCGTAAAAGTCACACAGGAGAGCTAGAAGAGAAAAAAAACAATTTTTTTTTCCAAATAAGCAGACAGAATTTTTCACATGTTAATCAAAAAGAATCAAGATCACCAGATTGGGAAGAAATGAGGAATAAAAAGTATGTTACACACAGATCTAAAGGACTGGCCAATCCGCTGCCCCCTCCCCGCCAAAAACCCCCAAATTCTCTGCGTATATGGACATAATACCCATCAAGATGCTTACCCTTAAAATATTAGGATTTTGGAAAATTCAATTTACAAATACATTATTAATTGCATTGTTATAATGAAATTAGTTCATTAAACGTGAAGACATCAAACAGCACCAATACCAGAAAGTTAAGAAGAAAGTAAATACAGTGTTACTTAATATATAATCACTGATTGGGACAGAAATGAACTATATAGCCAATAGCAAAATTATGTAAGCTACTGTTTGACATAAAGGCAACATTTAAAGATTAGTATATGCCCTTTTCCCAGCGACAGGCCTGTGTCTAGGCCTCCCAGCAGTGGGTCAGTGTAGAAAATATTAAATAAGACGCATTTTCTGAAATTGCTCAACCTTGACCCATGATCCTACATAACCCAAATTTTGCCAATATAAGCCGATGGCAGCGTTTTTGGTACTGTAACTCCCCTTACCCGTTCCCATGAAAACAACACGCAACCCCCTCGTTAAGCATTAGATAGGATACACCTGCAAGGCATCTGCAAACGGGCTGCTGACGGTGCATCGGAATGCCGCTCATGAAAAGACAGCAGCAAACCCTCTACTGAAGAGCACATCGTTCCACGCGGAACCCCAGATCGCTCTCTCCGGCCCCCCTGGATGCTGGAAGACTCCGGGTGAACGAGTGCGTGTCTACGTGGGGCTGGGGGAAGGCGGCTCTTAACAGGTGTGCAGCGAGCGCACTTTAAATGCCCATGGCAATTCTAATGCTTGCAGAGTACTCCACCTATTATCTAAATTGTTTCAAGTGTGCAGAACCAAAATGCTAACAAAACTTTGGTATTAACCCCCCAAAACAGCATTGCATATTAGGTGAAATGAACGAGGCATGGCTTGTGAAGTGTTTCTAGTGCTCACGCCGCCCTCTCCCTACTTCCTGCCCCTTCCATCGGGTGCTCTACAGACTACCTGGTTTGAAGTATTTGGTAACTCAGTGCAGAAAATTAAGGTCACAGACAAAGTACAACAACTTTTAATACACCGTTAATACTAATGATTAAAAATTATTGCATAGTCTTATGCATTTACCCTAAAACATTTTCTGAAAGGAAATCCTGAAAGTATTATATAAAAGACAACCCTTTAAAATGTGGATGGCCTTTACTACCTCGACCTTCTCTCCTTTTTCGTCTTTTCAGTACTTTTGTCCATCGTTTTCTCATTATCCCCCCTGCACTTTGGGCAGTACCATTTCCCCTTTGGTTTATAGGTCAGTGAAACACACGAGAAGTGGAACCACTCGATTGGACACTGTTCATTGTCACATCCGATCATCTCCCCGTAAGACACTTGGTTGCATAAACAGTACGTAGGTTCATTGGGATCTATTGCGAACTCGACAGGAGAAGCTTCCCTCTCCTGCTTGGCCTTGGAGCGCTTCTTTTTCTTGGCTGACTTGGATTTCTTCTCCTTGGGCGGCTGGTCATCACAGTCTTCAATGCCATTGGTCATGTGGCACAAATCACGGCTTTCACTGGGCCGCTGTCTCCGGGGTCTCCGGGACGATCTTTCTGGTTGGCTGGAATCCGTTTTGGCTTTGTCTGAGGCTCGCTCACTTTCGGCAGGGTCTTGAAAACACTGCGAGTGTAGCTCCATTTGCCTGGCCCGGTTTTCCACCAATTCGAGCATTTGGGTGACAATCTGAATTTTCTCATCTCCCAATTCCTGGCTGTTGATTAATGCTCTCTGGAGATGCTGCTGTAGGCGTTTCTTCTGGTTTAAATCATCTTCTTTTTTATATTTTTCATAGACATCATCAATTTCCTTTAATGTTTCTAAAAAAGGAAAAGACAAATCAGAGTGTTACTGTGTTGGCACATACAGCATTTTTCAGGTTATCTTTCACAGAACTGGAGAAGTTAGGATGAACTCTCCACACTGTTCTTTACTATGTGGAGATTAAAAAAATTATTTCCACCCTGGCTGGCGTAGCTCAGTGGATTGAGCGCGGGCTGCAAACCAAAGCATCGCAGGTTCGACTCCCAGTCAGGGCACATGCCTGGGTTGCAGGCCATGACCCCCAGCAACCGCACATTGATGTTTCTCTCTCTCTCTCTCCCTCCCTTCCCTCTCTAAAAATAAATAAATTTTAAAAAATCTAAAAAAAATTATTTCCCATATAAAGACCATATGTTATGCCATACAAAAGTATATTTAGAAATAAAAAGGAAAAACACCAAACTCTAATACTCATTAATCTACACTAAAAAGGAGATGTCAGCTAATAAATAATCAAAAGTATTGTATGTGGGCAGACTCACAGTATGCCCCTCGTCCAGAGTCTACTGAGTGTCATACTGCCTATACTTTATTTGAACTTAAAAACAATCCTATGTTAAAATGTATCAATACGTGCCAGACTCTAACTGTAAAGCTAGTTCAAGGACCAGGCTACAGGTGGTGTCCGGCTGCACTTACGGGACCTGCAGGTCAGCCGGTGACTTGCACGACTCCACAGAGACACTACACCTTCACTTTCATACACCCCCCGCGCCCTTTTTTAAAAAAAAGATTTTAATTATTTTTTTCCAGAGAGAGGGGAAGGGAGGGAGAAAACCATCAATGTGTGGTTGCCTCTCAAGTGCCCCCACCCAGGGACCTGGCCCACGACCCAGGCTTGTGCCCTGACTAGGAATCGGACTCACGACCCTTTGGTTTGCAGGCCGGCACTCAGTCCACTGAGCCACACCAGCCAAGGCACCCCGGGGCTTTCTTAAAGCAGACAGAAGTAACCCTTAGTTTCCCATCATATTAGCTTTAATGGCTCTTTTATTTTATCACATGAGAGATATTTCTGAAACCCAAACTATTTCCAGAGTAGATTTAGGTTCATATTCTGGCATAAACTGATTAAGCTACTAACAGAGTTATAGTGAAGTCAGCACTGGGTCACTACGCTTTTGTAGATAACTCAGCAGTTGGCTCTAAGCCATCTGAACTGCTGATTGAGGTACTGTATAGCATTTGGAGCACATTTAAATCAGTGAAAAGTAGCTGAGTCATTAGAAGGTATACAAAAATCCGAAAATACAGTTCCATACATCACCAAAACTTACATAAGATTAGTTTTTATTCAGATCTCTTCTACGTTTTTATCCTCATGAGATTTAACACTATTTGAAAGAGTTCTGCTTTCTAAAGGCAGAGGAACAAAAACTTAATTCTAATTTATCATGCCACAAGGCAGATCACTGCTTTACATGCCAATATTATTATTCTAATCATAATAACAGAAAGGTTAAAACAAATAAAATACATACATTGGTGCTGTCTGCAGTAATGTAATGTAAAGCAAATATTAAGCATATCTCTTGTGATTAGCTCCTCCCTGGAAACTGTAGGTACTCACAACCGATGGACAACTGTTGAACCTCAGATACACGACAAAGTGGCACTACACACTTGAGCGTACTCATACCTGCAAAGCGTATTTTTAAACAAAGGTCATATCCAGTCCATTTGCCTAACTAGGCGTGTAAGTGGATTTCTTAAGAACTTAATTTTCCACCCTGGCCAGTGCGGCTCAGTTGGTTGGAGCATTGACCTGAACACCAAAAGGCTGTGGGTTCATACCCTGGGTTCCATCCTCCGTCAGGGCGCATATGGGAGGTGACCAATCAATGTTTCTCTCTCCCTGTCTCCCTCCTCTCTCTCTAAAATCAGTGACTATATCCTCGGGTGAGCTTTGGGGGGAAAAAAAAAAAAAAAAAAAAAAGGATTTAATTTCTCTCCAGGAAAAATAAGGAAGATATATTATTCCCATGCACCCTACCCAAGACACAAAATTTGACAGTTAGAAAATAAATGACCTGGCTGGCGTAGCTCAGTGGATTGAGCGCGGGCTGGGAACCAAAGTGTCCCAGGTTCGATTCCCAGCCAGGGTACATTCCTGGGTTGCAGGCCAGAACCCCCAGCAACCGCACATTGATGTTTCTCTCTCTCTCTCTCTCTCTCTCTCTCTCTCTCTCTCTCTCTCTCTCCCCCTTCCCTCTCTAAAAATAAATAAATAAAATCTTTTAAAAAATAAATAAATAAATAAATGAAAACCTTATTTCAAATATTCTTTACCTAATAACCAGGACTTACAAGCTAATTATATTATAAAATACTAACACACTGATACTTAAGGTAAAAATTCACATTTTTAAGACAACTTAATTGTAAAATGAAAAAAGGAAACACACTGAGACCCATCGATGTGATAAAGGTTTTCTCATTGACTCCCCACGGCAGCCCCATGCGGAGGCCATCACTTCTATATGGAGAAAAAAGCTCAAGGGTGACCCCAGACTGTGACCTCTGCCAAGTGTGAATATCTGGCTCCACCATTTAAGCATTTTCTACTAAGCTGAAAGAAAGGCACTTGAAATTATTAAATTTAATTCAAAGGTTATTTACCCAGGAAATTATGAATAAAAATACTAGAATAAAAATTGAGGTTCTCTAATCACCATATCCATGATAAATACTTCATTCAGTTGTAAACTTTTCTTCATTTCTATTTTTAAGTTTTTAGGGTTACTTTTAAGGTTCCTCAGTAATTTCTAAAATGCCTCATATAGGTAGGAGAGAAATTTCTTTGATTGCCTATGTAATTTATATCACTAGATATGGTAGTATTAGATCCAAAATCTGAAGATACTTTAAAACTAGCAAAGAACTTAAAAGCATGAATTTCTGAACAAAGAACATACAGTTTTTTAGAGCTAATAAATGTAAAACTGTGAAAGCTGAACTTAGTAAGCATGTGAAGAGTGAGAACTAGATTGTTATTTTTCTATTAATCTTGAAACTAACCACAATCTTAATGGTGCTGAAAATTTCCACAATCTCTGTCTCTTAAGACCTAATATTGTTTCTCATGTTACCAGAGCTACTTACGATGATTCTAGATGGTCAAGATGGAAGATTTTCCTGTAACAATCTGTTCTTCCCCAATTCAAATGGCAAGAAATAGCTTCACTTTTGTAAAGACAAATACAGTAGGTGTCTTTATAGAAATGTAAAAACCTGCAAACTTTACTAACTTCAGAATTATATGAAAAATTAAAATGTTAAATATAAAATTCTTAAGCATATATGTACCATATTTAGGTTACAATGCATGTACTGTGTATTTGCTCCATCACGTCTAGAAAATATCTTCGGAGAGCTTTTCTTTGAAAAATAGAAAACGTTAAAATTGTTTAAAAACAAGCCCTGCACCTAAAGTAGCCTGGCTGTGAAGTTCAACGTTCCCCACCTAACTGTACACGTTCCTTAAACTCCTTGTAAATTTTAATTTACCCGTGAAAGAATTTTTTACTTCATAGGATTGAGGATTAAATGAAATAATGTTCTAAGCTTGAAACAGCAAATGACACACAGTAAATAATCAATATTAATTATCTTCCTCCCTAACAGAGATCAGTCCTCATCAATCATGGATTCAGAAGGCAGAAACAAATTACAGGTTTGAAAAGAGACGTTATCCTAACATGCTAAGGGCCAGAAAATATCACCCCAGAAGTGGGTTCCTTAGAGACTAAAAATCATTAGACTAATGACGTGTCTAGAAAAACACAGAATGGGTCCAAGAAGTTATCTCTTTAAAGTCCATATGGCTGTTTCCACATAATGTTCAAGGTCTGTTCCTAGATTCAGGGTTAACAGAAGCACAACGGATCCCCATTTAAACTTCTCCCCTCCTGGTAGCAGGTGAAGGGTCCACCAATAGCAGATGATAAGTGATACTCTTCGCAAGAAACGCTGATTCCCTGAGCTAGCTCCTAGGGTCTGACCACAAAGGGTGGTTTTGCTTCATTCCTTAAACTTGAAGGGAGGGGTTAAGGGACGCCAGGCGGTTGCCCAGTCAACCACCCATTTCCTCCTGGGGCCCGGAAGTGACGCAAGGCCCGGAACCTACGCGGTGCCGGGGTCAGAGACTCTACCAGTAGCTGGCTATGTCCTCGTCACAATTGAGTGGTTGGGAAAGACTCGAAAAATCGCAACAAACATCTTTCAAACCCCAACACTGACTCTGCAAAGGGGCGGACTAACGTCTCGCACGGCTCCAACGCCCAGCCAACCAGCCACTTCTGCTCAAACCTTGCAACGACCAGCCATTACCGAGGCGGGCGGGAGCGCGCGTCCGCGCCCCTCCGGTGCTACGTCACGCCCGCAGGCCACGCCCCCAGGAACAGGGGGCCCTCCCCGCCACACACACCCCTCTTCCTTTACCCGCAGGGACCCCTCCTCTTTTAACCATTTGGCTGAAGGAGCAGGGAAAAGGCTACAGTCCGAAACTCTCCCCGGGGCGGGAGAGGGGTAGAGACTCCCCGATTCCCGAGCCGGGAGCCAGAGAGCGGAGGGTGGGACCTCCCCGGAGTCCGCCTTCGCGGTCCAGTCTCGCTCCCTCCCCCCGCACGTTCCAATGCATATGCTCTCAGGGAGTAAGGGCCAAAGGGGGCTGGGGGAAGCCAGGCCCCAGAGACCTGCAGGAGCCCGGCCGCTCACTCCCTACAGTCACCGCCCGGCTGCATGCTCCCTCGCCTGGGCAGGAGGGTCTGCGGCACGGGGCAAGCCAGCGCCGGAACAAATGCTTGCTACTTAAAATGGCTGATTCCCCTCCACGCCAGCTGCAGCCGCTGGGTCTGCAGTGGGGGCTGACGAGCAGCCCCCACCCCCACCCTAGAGATCCCACCAAAGTCCTCGCCGACTGCAGCAGAGGAATGGAGGGCCGCGAGCCCGGTCTCCCGTCCCTCTCCCAGGTCCCACACACCAGACCCGCTCTGTGCACTCGAGGACACTGTCCCAGGAGAAAAGGAAAGTGACACTTCCTCGGGCAGGCTCCGAGCGACAGTGCCCGGAGGCCAGCGGGTCCGACAGAAAGGAAGACCCGCATGGACAGCCGCGCGGCCCCCTACCTTGATATTTGTTGTCCAGCTCCCGCAGCACAGACACGTTCCTCTGCATGTCGTGGGGCAGCGACTCCACACACTCGAGGTAGTCCTGCACGTAGCAGGTGAGGAGCCGGCTCCGCTCCCCGGTCAGAATCGCCGCGGACGAGTAGAGTTGCTGCTGCTGCTGCTGCTGCTGCCCTAACATCCTGCCGCCGCTGCTGCCCCTCGCCGCCGCCGTCGCCGCCGCCTCCGCATCCAGCAGCCACACATGCAACAGCCGCGGCCGCCGCGGCCCCTCTGCTCCGCAGCCCGGCGCCGCGGGCACACCGGCCGTCGCTTAGGAGGGCACAGCCGAGTCCCCTGATCTCCACTCCCCCAAAAAGAAGCCCTCACTCCCCGCCCCCGTGGTAACAAGCCCAGGGGCGGGGCGAGATCTGGGCTCCCTCCTTTTTGCCCTCCCTCCCCAGGACTAGAGCAGCGGGGATCCCCCAAGCGGAGCTCGCGCCGGGGTGCCGGGCGTTGACACTTCCTGCCCCCCTCGGAGTCCCCAGATGCTACCAAAGCCGTCTCGTAGCTCGGATCCCCATGACAAGCCCTCCACTGCCCCCTTTTCTCCCAATCACCCTCCGAGCCTGTCGGAGAGTCTCGCACTGGACTGCCCCCGCCCCTCCGCCTGCGGCCACCACTGCGCCTGCGCAGGACGCACTCCTATTAAGGCCGGGGGCCCGCCTCTACCGCCCTACCAAAGGGTTCGCATTCTCCCGCCTTCCCTCAGCCACCCGGGCGATTGGTCTGTCAGCTCTCGGTCCGGCCAAACGGCAGGCTTCGCCCCGCCCCCTCTTAAAGGAGAAAGCCTGTGCGACCCACCTCTCTGCCCAGTGTCGGAATGGGACTTGCGAGGAAGGGTGGCTGACTTTTTCCTTCCATCCCTCCCACAGGGAGCGGGAAACTTGGCCCGGTTCCCTCGGCCTACTGTTACCGATTTCTTCCCCATCGGTGGATCTAGCGCGGCCCCTGGCAAGCCTTAAAAGGAGCAGCAGGCGGCCGCTTTTCGCAGCAACCTGCAGCAAGTGACGCCTAAAGGGACTACACGACCCAGGGTGCAGCGCGCGGCTCCCGCCCTGCGCCGCGGCAGGGTTCCCGCCCCGTAGCCCCTTCTCGCTCTCACTCCGTCTGGGCGTAGCCCTGAGGCTTGTCCCCTAAGGTTTGTCCCCTCCGGCCTGTGGCTTCCGTCTCGCCAGGCAGCCGGGGGCCTGACTCCGGGGGTAGGTAAGTACTCCCGCGTACCCCCTGCATTCTCTTTCTCTTTCACTCTGCCAGCCTTTTAAATCTCCCTCCTGGCTGCAGCGTGCTTCCGTCTCCCAGCGCCCAAGTGTCTTGCTGGTTCGGTCCTCCCCCCTGCTCTTCTGGAATCCGGTTTCTTTCAGGCTGCGTCTACTCCGGGAACGTGTTTAACCAGCAGGCAACCTTTAAAAACTTTTCCCCCCCTTGGGTCAGAACGTTTAAGCATTGAGTGTCGGCGGGAGCTTACCTGCGGCGTAAAGGGCACACCGCCACCTTTTCGTATCTTTTTTACCCTGAGACCAGAAACCACTGGCTGAACGACCAGAGGAAACGCAGGGCGTGCACACTGGGTGTACACAAGTAATCGGGAATCAGGCCCGGGGCCTTAACGACGTGATCGTCTAATTTCTGTGCAGTGGTATTTCCAAATGGTCTCTAAGTGTGTATAATAACGGGCGTTTGTGGAAGAATTGGATAGAAACAGAACGAACACATAGATAATTTTAATGAAACATCCGAGGGAGACTCCAGCCTGCAAGGTTCCCAGCCCGGGGCGGTGGGGGGAGGGGCGCTGTAGAAGGAAATAGAGAGTCCTCCCGCGGTGGGGGGAGGGGCGGTGGGGGAGGGGCGCTGTAGATGGAAATAAAGAGTCTTCCCGGCCACAATCTTGTTGCTCTTGTCGCTCCGGCGGGAAAGGGGTTGGCGATTCCCTCTGGTGGAGAATGCCCCAGCCTTTCTCCTGCAGGGCTTTTAGCTTTGGGAAGTGCAGGGGGCTGCAGCACACATGCTTAGCTTATCAATCAGTGTCCACCAGGCTGTAGTCATAAAAAACGAACACTATCTATCTATAGATAACAATTAAAGAAACACAGAAATGTTTTCAGGTTGGGATCTGTGAGACATGCAGGCGCCAGAGGGCTGTAAAGGCCCACATCATGAAGCAGGGCGTTTCCCTCCTTATGCCTTGAACTCAAGCATCTGGGTTATACTAACAGGGTTCTATCAATGAGCAGAGCCTTTGTTCTCTTCAGAGAACAAAAATGTACATTTCAAGCCTGATTCCCACGGGACCCTTGGTGTTAGACTCTAGTCATGCCTGCCGCCTGTTATGACCTGGTTTTCTAGGAAGACTTACCAGCCCCTTTCTCTCCAGACAGATCGTATCCGCCCAAACTCATTTCACCCACAACCAGGAGGACTCCGAGGGCGGGGTTGCCCTCATCCGGCACCTGAACAGAGGCGCTGGATTCAGGGCCTGCATCAGCTGAGAGGCTAGGGGCCCTCGTCGCAGAAGGCGCACATAGACAGTATTCGGCGCCTCATCCCACGGTAAGGGGCAGCGGCGCCAGCGCTTTCGGTTATGCCACCGGTGTGTCTTAGATAAGGGAAGGGGAATTTCTTTCAGAGCCGCCTCTTGCAGCCTTTCGGTTTCAGTCTTCCTTCTCCTCCCTCCACTCCCAGGCATACTAGGAAGTCACCATCAGCTAAATAACTAATAGTCAGGACTTGAATGAGTGCTCCGTCCTGGCTGGACTCTGGAGATAAGAGGCATTTCCTCCCTCTGACCTGAGTTTCTGGGTCTCCCTATGGGAGTAGGGGCCTAGCAGAGGTGTCTGGGGCCAGTCCCCAAGACATGTAGGGGCCTCGTAGTTAACTCCAATCACTGTAATACAACTTCTGGGTTGTCCGGGCACATGCAGCATAAGGCTTGGTCACTTGGCACTCCAAGCTCTTCGGCTGTTGTGGACGACTGGGAGAGAAACCGAGACACATAAGAGAGGCTGGGGTGACCAAGGGGTGACACCCTCGGGCCCTCCTCACAAGGAGCACTCAACTCACTACATTTATCTCATTCCCCAGCAGTTAGCCAGAAGCTTACAGAACTAGACAGGCAGAACGAGGGCCAGGGAAGACAAAGCCGAAAGTGAAAATACCCCAGCTGCTGGCATGGGCTCGGGACTTCCTAAGGAGCAGAAGGTACGTTTTCTACTGCATCAGCAGCTTCTTAAGGCTGTGGAATGTCAGGTTGAAGAACAAGACTTAACTCACTTATTACAGACAATAAAGAGCTGCTGTCCATGGTTCTCAAACATAGACTCTTTAGATCTAGAAGTCTGGGAAAAAGTAGGGCAGGAACTGAAATGGCATCAGGAGAACGGGACCCCTATAGGACGTCAGGATGTATCAGCCTGGAGCCTAGTGAGAGCAGCTCTCGCCCCTGTTTATACTGGAAGCCCCCACAATCAGGAAAGCTCAGTCACAAAAGAAGGGACCTGTAGGACATCGGCGGGCGTGGTTGCCAAACCCAATAACAAAAACCCGCCACCGGCCCTTAACCAGACCTTAACCTTCGTGCGGCGGTGTTTCCAAGAGGCTGCGGAAGACGGCTCCTGGGAAACTCTGTCCGAGTACCTCGTTTATACTAAACGGCACAGGCAGCCCGTGTATGGGCCTTTGCCTTTTGAAATATACGAATACTTCAGAGAGGCCATTAAAGACAACGGGCTTCGGTCGCCCTACACTATGGGACTCGTGTCAGCCATTGCTGAAGGGTTCCGGATGGCCCCTCGAGACTGGATTGCCTTAACTAGGACTGTCCTCGAGCCTGACCAGTTCGCCGTGTGGCATTCAGAATATACTTACCGCTGCCACCTCCAGGCAGCTGAGAATCAGGAAATTGGAAACCCAGTCCAGCTTAACATGCTTCTCGGGACTGGTCAGTATGAATCCGCCAAGGAGCAGGCGAACATGAACCCTCAGGCTTTCTACCAGTGCACCCAGGCCGCTCTCCGTGCCCTGAAGGTGGTTCCGGAAGACGGAGCCCCGCGCGCAGGCTCCTTCACTAACGTGCGGCAGGGGGCCACCGAGGATTACGAACGTTTTGTCGACAGGCTCATGAGAGCGATGGAAAGACAGATTGAGAATGAGGAAGCAGCCAAGGCCCTTTTATTACCATTGGCCTATGAAAATGCAAATAGTGATTGCAAGGCTATGCTCAGAATTCTCAGACGGACCGCCACCGATATCAGTCAGTTTATCAAGGCTTGCCAAGATGTTGGCACGGCACACCACCGAGCCACATTGCTAGCGGCCGAGATGAAGAGGCAAGTTAAATGCTTTAATTGTGGCAGACCAGGACACACCCGTCGGGAATGCCAACACAAACAACAGAATAACCCAAAACACCTGCCCAGTAAAGACTGCCCACGGTGTGGCAAGGGCAAACATTGGGCCAATCAGTGCAGATCCAAATATGATAAAGATGGCAAACCACTTCCACCTCAGGGGAAGGGGAAGGGGGCCATGGACTCTGGTGCCCCAAACTCCCATAGGAGTTTTGCAGGCAATGACAACCCATTGTGTGGGACTCAGGAACATGCTGAGTCACCGGTCTCCATGCCACCACAAGGGGAAGGGCAGGCTTGGACTTGGTCAGCACCCAGGAACTCCTGTTAAGAGAACAGGATGAAAGCCTCATAGCTCCTCCAGGGGTATGGGGACCATTGCCTGCGGGCACTGTTGGATTGACTTTAGGAAGATCTAGCATTACTGCTAAAGGGATTTTAGTCCAGCCCAGAGTAGTTGATTCTAATTATCAGGGAGAAATCAAAATTATGATCAGAGCCTTTGGATATTATGTCATTCCTGCTCAAACTCTCATGGCCCAACTTCTTCTTCCCTATACAGTGCCAGATACTCGAAATATTAAGGGGGGAAAAGAGGTTTTGGTAGCACTAATAACCAATCTGTTTTTTGGACTGCCTCCGTTAAATTAAATAAACCTCTTTTAGAAGTAACAATCACAGACAAAAAGCCTTCCATGGCCTGTTAGATATGGGAGCGGATGTCTCTGTAACTTCTAGCCAGTACTGGCCTCCAGATTGGCCACTAGCAGAGGCCGACATATCCATAACTGGCACACTAGGCGTTTCTGAACCACGTAGACTGTCTGACCACTCAGGTGCTGTGGCTCTGATGGACAGGCAGGGAGAATTCAGCCCTGTGTCCTTCCAGCCCCACTTAATATTTGGGGATGAGACCTTGCTCAGTGTGGAGTGAAAAATCACCCTTCTGCCTTTTTACTGGTGGCCACTGTTCAGATACCTCCACTGCCCCTCACATGGATTTCAGATACGCCTGTGTGGGTCGGTCAGTGGCTTCTAAAAGTGGGGAGGTTAGAGAAAAATGTGAATTAGAACAACAATTAGAAGCAGGACACATTGAGCCATCTAGCAGTCTGTAGAATACTCTGATTTTTGTAGCTCCTAAAAAATCAGGAAAATGGAGGCTTATACGTGACCTTAGAAAAATTAATGAGGTATTTCAGTGAATGGGTGTTCTCCAACCTGGAGTCCCAAATCTAGCC